GCATGCTCCGCCTGAGGCGCCAGCTGCCGCAGTCGGCCTCGGGCCGCTCCTGGCGCCAGTGGCCCTTGACCCAAAAGAGTTTGCCCACCTCTGCCAAAATAAAGAAAACATTGAAATCTTTTGTGTTGGACATAGATTAATATCTAACTTTATTTTAAATGAAGTTTGACAAACTAACATGAGAAAGGGGGTAGCCGAGTTAGTCTGTGCAGGATAAACTTAAAAAACAACAAATGTTGGAGGGGAAGAAAAGGAGTGCAGTGGATTGGAACTAGACATTTGGTTGAGACTGGAGGAATAAGAAACAGAGATTGGCTGGGTGTGGAAACGGAGGCTGAGAGTTGAAGGTGAAGGTGGGAGATGTTTGGCAAGGAGACTGGGACTAAGAACCAGTTTGAAAAGGAGCAGAGGTGAGGGGAGATTGGATGGGAGGAAAGACTGATATGGGCTGAGCAAAGAGACTTGGGACATGGAGATGGAGATTGGGGAAGGATTCTGAGGAGGTGACCAAAATCCGATACAGAGCCTGGGATGAAGACTGAATTTGAGAACCGATTTGGATGGAAGGGAAGAGATAAGATCAGGCAAGGAGCTACAGGCAATTTAGATTATGACATTTTTAATTCTGAATGCTTGAATTTTTTTTCAATGTTAATACTGTTCTTTTAATGTTTTTGTATGTAATTTAGGGGAAAGGATAAACCTGTCTTTTACCATGTATATTTTTAAGTGTAAATTTTTATCTGTTGACAGATGTGATGTCTTGGAATATGTGAAAGGAATGTAAGGCTATGTTGTCTGATTCTAAGTCACCTTTAAGGTTACTCGATTCTGAGGCTGCTTCAAGATCCAAAAATATTTTGGAATTACCTGAATGTTGCTCTTAACACACATAGACTCACTCATAGGACTGGAATGCACCTTAAGAGGTCATCTAGTCCAGTTCCCTGCACATATGGCAGGACTAAGTATTATCTAGACCAGTGGTATCCAACCTTTTTGTACACAAGATTAAGTGCAATCCAAGATCTACTTCAAACCCAGATATCCTTTCTCTGCCTCCTTTGTGCTCCTTTGCCCTGCCTCTCTGCGGCCCCGCCCCTGCTCACTCCATCCTCCTCCCTCCCAACACTCACTTTCACCAGGCTGGAGCAGTGGGTTGGGGTGCAAGCTCTTGTCTCAGGTTAAGGAATTTGAAGTGTGAGACAGGCTCTGAGCTGAGCTTGGGGCAGGCAGCTGGGGTACTGGAGAGGGTTCTAGGTATAGACTCTGGGAGGGTGTTTGAATGCACGGGGGCTCAGGACTAGAGCAGGGGCTTAGGGTACAGGAGATGGTTCATGACTTGGGTAGGGGTTCAGGATGTGGACTGCAGCTGGGCACTGCTTAGCTCAGGTGGCTCCTGGGTGATGGTGCAGTGGGGCTAAGGCAGGCACGCCCCTGCCCTGGCCCTACACCACTCCCCAAAACAGCCAGCAAACTTACTCTATCCCTAGTCCTGTGTGCCCCCTCTCTGCTCTGTGGAGACAGGATACAGGGTGGAAGAAGGGGGCACTTTGACATCAGCACCCATCCTTTCCCTTCCCTGCACAGCAAACAGGAGGCTTCTTGGCAAAGGGCCAGAGATGCACAGCAGTGGGAGGAGGAGCAGTTGAAGTGCCAGCACTTCAAAGCTATGTGGCCACACCATTCAAGATCACCTGTCAGAGGCTCCAAGATCTACCAGTAGATCCCAATCTACTGGTTGGTGACCACTGATCTAGACCACCAGTCTCAAACTCATGGTCCATGAGCTATCTGTGGCCCAAGCAATTCCACAATCCAGCCCACATGTAGCTGCTGGCACACGAGTCCCTGTAGCCTGGGAGGAGGAGAGTGTTTGTACCCTTCCCCCAAGTTGACACTGTGCTCCGCTCCCACCCAACCCTTTCCACTCCTACTCCACCTTCTCCCCTCATTGCACCTCTTCCCTCAAGGCCCCTTCTCTAAAGGACATTGCCTCAGGGATTACCAGAGGGCCTGGCAGAGGGTGGCAGAAGGATTCAGGCCCCCTATACTCACCACAGAGGTAGGAGCTGCAGGGAAGTGGAACTAAGCAGCAGCCTCTGCTCCACCGCCATCTTGCAGGCCAGCCCAGTCACTCCACTTCACTTCTGATGAGTGTGGGGAGGCGGACCCCAGCCTGCCCAGGGCACTATGAGCTTGAGTATGGTGGACCATCCTGTCCATAGTACAATTGGGGCAGCCACTGCGGGGCTAACAATGTGTGGGATTTAAGACGGCCACCTTGTGGATGGGACGGTTCTACACACACCTCCCCCGGGGCTACAGGGACTTATTGGCAGCATATTGCTTCGCTACTGATGGTGATGCCAGGTGATCCCTAGGAGAATTAAGTCACTGAGGGGCATCTAGCGGGGTCAGGGGACGCATGTGGGGTGGAGCATGCATGAACGCATGGCAACCTCTCCCACCCCCTCCAAGCCTGTGTAAAGGGTGTACCTACTGGCCTACTAGGAGGATATGAGGACTGGCACTGGTCTTAAGGCAAATTGAATTTGAGACCCCTGATAAAGACAATCCCTGACAGGTGTTTATCTAATCTCTTTAAAATCTTCAGTGATGGAGACTCCACAACTTCCCTAGGTAAATTAACTGACAACTCCTACAACTTATTCTTATAACAATGGAAAGCCAAAGCATAGTGGTGCTCTCACTCTGTAAACTTTTCTCTGGATATGTCCCCTTTGTAGAGAGGAATATGCTGTGGGAAATCCAAGGTGGGCCAGATCCATTAGGTTTGGGGCTGCTTTGTTCCATGTAGTAGAGTAGGGGGAACTGGACCAATGATCTAGCCTTCTCCCTGTCACAAGGAAATGTTCATTATGCTTGGTTTTAGGCCTGTAGTTTTGCTACTGTTTCTGATATCATCCCTTTGTATTTATCTTTACAAGACTTGGATTGGTAATCGAAGACGAAAATATCGCTTAATGGGGATTGAAGTACCTCCCCCAAGAGGCGGTCCTGCTGATTTCTGTGACCACCCGGAATCTGGTGCTAAATCAGCAGTTACTTCAGGAGAGGAAATTGCTACCGAAGTGGGAGATGATAATGATAGGAATGATGAAGTATCAATCTGCTTATCTGAAGGAAGTTCACAAGGTATTTGAAACTGAAATTGCTACTGTTAATTATATTTTGCATTTTTTGTGCTTTTCATTTCTCGTTGGTGTTAAGATTCAGAAGTGTCTGAAACAGTAGCTTTTTCTTGACTATGAAATGAGCAGCCTTCCGAAACTCAACCCAGCTGTTTAAAATTAGTCATTTGGAATTGTCCTTGTCAAGGTGGGAGAAGCACATTTTTGAGATTACATAGCTTTTATGCAAACTAATAAGAGGACCCATTCAGATCGCGCCAGTCTAGATGCTTTTTTTCCGGCTTTTCCCCAAGCTGGAAAAAAAGCGGCGGACATGTTTATTTAAATCCGCGGGGGATATTTAAATCCCCCGCGGATTTCCCTATCCTGACTTACCTGATTTGCATGGCTTTTCCGGAAATTGTGGCCAGTGTAGACGTAGCCTCAAGGTTTTGTGTTTGTTACCTGACAACAATATGATTCAGACTGATACAGTACCTTTCATTTCAATGCTAGCAAATGTTTGCCAAGAGCATTTTAAATTAGCAAAATATCCAAAAGATTAACTGGTAAAATGAATTAATTTAATGGAAGGGTGACATGGCATGGTGTATGCCAGCCTCACTTCTACGCTGCTTCTGGCTGTGAGGCTGTGGAGCCTGCTGGCAAAGATGGGGAACACTGCCCAGTGCAGTTTGTCCCCTAGCCAGGGACTATCCCCTGCAAACCCAGGTCCCATCTAGGGACTGCCCTCCAGCTCCTCCCGAGATTGCACCCCCCATCAGGGAATGCCCCTTCATCATCCAGCCTGTATATTCAGGATACACATGCCCCTCCCCCCTCACACACACACACTTGGCTGGCACATGTGCATGCCCTGTAGTGACAGGATGCTCTATCCAGTATGGAATGTCTTCCCCAGGGATGGTTCCCTCCTTCATCTAGTCCCCCACTCAACCCTTCAGTACTCAACCTTCTCCATCCAGGGACTGTGCCCTGGTATCTAGCCACCCCATCCAGAGACTGCCTACAACCACCAGTCCTCCTCCCCAAAGTCTGTCCCCCATACATCCTGAACCTTCCCACCCATGATCCTAGCCCTGTGCATTTCCCTCCTTGTGCCAGCTGGTTTCCTAGCTCTGCAACAGTTCAGCTGTCCAGCATGCCTTCCCCACCTGCCGCTGCAGCACTAGAGCCAGGGAGTTTGCTCCAGCTGAGGTTACTGGGATGATCCTGTGAGTTTACAGGGATGTTGAGCACCCTGGTTTTCTGCCAGTGTTGCTGGGCCCGGTCCTGGTAAGGGGAGGGGTTGATGCAAGGCCTAATCCCTCACTGCTTCATTTTTGCACACCCCTCTTGTTGGCTGTGTGCTTGGGACAGATGTGTGCTTTCACATTGCCCTAGTTACTGCCCTAAGGATATAAATTGGACTATAACTGTGTGCTGATTAGGCAGCAAGCAGCCCGTGGGTTGAGAACTACTGCCTCTAGATCAGTGTTTCTTAAGCTTTTTAAGACCAAGAAACACCAAACAATTTTTTTTTATGAGGAACACCAAGGATTTCTTGTTGAGCCCCCCAAAAAGAAGGTCGGGGAGAAAGTTATTGAGCAAAAAAAAAAAGGGGTTGCCTGCCCCTTTAAGGGCAGCCATTTTAAACTCTGTTGTTCTCCGTGGCACACCTCACAGCACACCAGTGTGCTGCGGAACACGGTTTAAGAAACACTGCTCTAGATGAAGTTGAGTTATGTCGCAGAACTAAAGTTACAACACAAAAAAACAGTCTAATCCAAACAAATATACAATATACTATGAAAAGCATCTTTAAACAGCCTGGCAATATGTGGAGAATTGCACAGCAGAGTCAGTACCCCTGGTCTAATTGGAAGGCACCTAAACTGTGTTTGCATGTGTGTGTGTGAGAGAGAACTTGTTTTCCCATCCCTACAGTTTCATGAGTTTGTCTAATTCCCATTTAACACTCAGTCAAATCATTTGCTCTGTCTCACAGAATAGAATAACCAAGTCAGTCTTCTATGTCCCTTTTTTAAATTAAAACTCTGGGCCCTAACGCAGATAAACTGCTACCTTTGCACGTTTCACTGGCTTCAAAACTTGAAGTAATTGTTCTCCATGCTTCTTGATTAGAAGGGATCGATCAAGCCCTGGGCTCAATTAACTAAAAAGAAGTCTGTTTTAGTGCATACTGTTGAAGCTTTGTGTGCTACATATGATTTTGTCAATTTGTTTGAAGGGTAGAGAAGAAAAAATTAGGGAAATTGAGAACAGTTAGAAACAAACTTATGATGGCTTTGTCAAATTCAGCTGTAGAGTAAGATAATACAGAATTGGGTAAAAGTGATTGAAAGCCAAGTAAGATGCCAAAGTATGAGAAACCTAGACTTGCCTGAAGGAGAGAGAACTGGTCCAGTAGAATGCATGTTTGTTTCTTTAAAAGAAAAAAAGTGACTGTTGTGCAATTTAAAGTGAAGCATATCTTGGTATTAATTAAGTGAGGCCTTTTGAAGATCAGATCAGAGATGTAAGGGACTGAGCAATGAGAAGATGATTATAATAAAGCTTATGGAACTATAGCCGAACACAGGATTTCCTTAGGAACAAAAATGAAAGATTTTTATATTAAATATAAGGATTATTTTCCTACCTTCCACAAGCCAAAAAGTAGTTCATAGTAAAGGCATCCATTTTAATTTTCCAGGAAGGATTTATTAAGAATAAATTAACTATATTTTATTAAATTCTCCCCAAATCTGTGGAAAAGCTGCTGGACTAAATTGCAACTAAAACGTCAGATGTAGTAGTGGACATTGATTCTGATAACCCTTAAAACTGGAATCTGTTTTATGGTAAAATTATTATTATTTCAGTTTGATTTTTGCGTCACAGACATTATTTTTTTCTATTGACATTAAGTCTCCAGTCTCCCAACCTTATAATAAAGACTTTATGAGAGGCAAGAGAGTGGTTAATTATATCAGCGAGGGCTTAAAAAAGCCAACACTCCTAGAGAAGATAGAGTCCAGAATTATATGCAGTAGCTGTTTTGTTAAAGCTGTGTATTCACCCTTTTAACTTCTTTGGAAAATACAACCCTAGGTTTCAAAAGGAATTTCAAAGATCTGAAAAGAACTGCTCCTGGAGGAACTGTGCACCCAAATATGTAAAGTTCTGCATACAATATTTTCAAAATTCTCATATTTTATTTGTCAAAATAACACAATATAATCACACCAGTTTCAATTATTTTTGGTCATTTATTTCAGAATACTTGTCATCAAGTAGTCTGTAACAATGCAGACAAAAAGATTCAGGAAATGTTAGTCCACAGTAGGCATATTAATACTAGAGATGTTAAAATGCGAGAAACTGTGTTAAGGATGTTAAGTATCGAGTAAATGACTAGTTGTGGACTTGATACAATCCTCATTGTCCCCCGACAAAGTGGTGTTTCCGTCCTCCTCTTCCCTTCCAGCCGACGACGTTAAACACTTTCAGGAATTATTCAAAAGGATAGTGAAGTCACAAGGAATAGACCTACAGGAGGTGGAAGAAAAGCAGCACAAGCTGCTAAAAATTCTACAGTCCACCACGTCCTTCAAGATAGCCATAAACGTAGCCATCATGAAGCCATCAGAGAGCATATGGCAAACACCAACCTCTATTATATCCACAAACTGTAGGACCAATTGAAAATATTTTGTCCTGGCTAAGGGGATGGATTTTTCTTTTCTCTCACCCCAAGCCAAACTTAGGTGTAGATTCCATTCACCACTGCTCTAGACAACCGTAGTTCAAATTGATGCCTCAGGACAAGAAGGACAAAAGGCTCAATATTTTTGGGAGAAAAGTCTGTTCATCAGCTACACTCCTGTTTAAAATTTCTTTTTTTGGCTCTTCTGGCTAATTATGATTACTCTAATTACACCAGGCTATCAGAGCTGCTAAACGACCTGCCAGAACAAAAAAAGGCCTCGACTGCAGTCCATCATGAAAGAAGGCCAATCCATTGACTGCATGGTGCTCCAAGCATCGATGGATGTAGCAGATACTGCACTTCTTGGCTACAGTCATCTGGTGTTCCTAGGGAACTGAAAACCGAAGTGGAAGACTTTTGACAGGGCTCAGCTTCTTGCAGTGAAGACTGATGAAGTACTCCACTCAATGAAAGATTCGCACACAACCCTCTGGACACTTGGAACGTATTTGCTGCCCAATAAGAGGAGGAGATACACGCCTACTGGAGGCAACATCAGAAGCCATTTGACAACAGATTGAAACAATGGACCAGTAGAAGAAGGGCATAACATACCCAATGCATCCACGCTCCAGTCTGCTGCACCTGAGCAACAGATTTGAAGGTGTGGTTGAGGGCATAAGCAACCAACTTTGAGATCCGGTGCATACCATCCACACGTTCCACCATCGGTTGAGACCCTTTTACCACTAATGGGCTCTCCTCACGATGGACCAATGTGTCCTCAAGATTATAAGAACTGGCTACACTGTCCCCTTTATGTGTATGCCCCCTACCCACCCTCCTTCCCCATCCTTCTTAAGGGACCCTGTGGTGGTCCATAGCCACGAGTCACGCACACCCAGGTCCGAGCGGGCGACCTCGCTAGCCCGCTGCCACTAGGTGTGGCCTCTCCAGGTGCAAGCCACTCCCACCTGAGCCCAGGCGAGTGGCCCTGCGAGCCCACTGCCTAATAGTCCGTGTCGTGGCCTTTAAGGGCATGAGCCGCTCCCGCCCGAGTCCAGGCGGGTG